TGTTATATTTTAAACCTTGTGGGTGACCAGAGCATCTTTGACATATTAGTAGTTCCCATCTATTGCATCTGATCCTAATAAAAGATGAGAGATCTCGACTTATCAGTAGACAGTGTTCAGATGTATTGCATACAAGGCAGTAACAGTTCATAACACACAAAAGGATCTGTTGAATGGAAGAAAGGTTCACCATGTGTTATTTCATATATTTGTAGCAGCCTTACGTGCTCTTTAGATCTGGGCATAACCTAAAATACTATTTTCCTGTGCTGCTTTTGTTCCTTCTAGCAACTTTTTAAGCAGCTATATTACTTGCTTTTTGTTTTCAAGTAATTGGATTCCTGAAATGAGTCATGTTGTACTTCAAGATACCATATCCATGAGAATTTGTATCTGGTGACTCCATTGAAACATAAAGCATGTGTGGTGTGGACGAAGCTATAGAGATAAATGAGGTCAAGTAGACAGTTGAGATTTGTGGTATGTTGAGAAACCACAAAGTAATATCATAATGAAATCCACCAGAAACTTCAAATCTCTGGAGATTGATCAAAGCAATACAAAAAAATCTTAAATCCCAGGTGTCTACAGGAGAATTATCATTTGAATCTGATGATAAACAAACATTTAAAGATTTTCAATGAATGTCCGTTCATTTTGACTTCTGGCCTAGTCTTGACGTGGTTGGTTTCTGCATTGAGCCATTTTTAGACATGTAATCGCACCTTTTACATTTGACACTGAACAATAGAGCCGAGGAGAGTATTTTGTCCTTATAGAAGTTTCTGAATTTCCTGTACTGATTCTGTGATTCAGGCGCTGGAGACTGCAGATGTAACTAGCCAAAGTCGGTATCAGACCTGTACTCGTTTTGATACCTTGTATAGGGTGATGGAGCTTCTCTCAGATCAAGGTTCACTTATTCTTGCTGTTTGTTAAACCTTCTTGAACTGCTCTATATATTAAGTTTAACTCATCCTGTCTTACGCTCATTCCAGCTGTGCGGCGTGTTATTGTCATTGAGGCCAGCAGCCGACAAGTAGAAGGCATAATCACCTTAAGAGACATTTTTAGTTACTTTTTAGCTTAATTCTCTTGTAAATTCTCTCTCGCCTGTATCAAAATTTTGCCTCCCGGCAAAAACAGTCTTGATAGACATGATCTTACACTTCGGCCAAATATTTTTGTTGGCACTAATTAATGGACATGGTGCAATATTTACCTAATTCTCGCTCTTTGTTTTAAGCCACCTTCTTTGTCAAGGAAGCCAGACAAATTTCACATGCTGTGTCTTTCAAACTTTAACAGACAGCTTCAGATTTATGCTGCTCAAGTACATTTAAAACCAAATGTATCTCCTCAGCAAGAGGATGAGCATCATCCCCAGCAACAAATTCATGTGATACCCCGTTTAATTGAATCAAGCTACAACCGGCACTTTTATTGACCCTTGTTCTATCACTCAATCTCCTCATCCTCACCAAGTCATCCCACCTCTCTGCATTTGCATAAACATTGGCTAAGACAGAATATACCCCACCATCTTCAGGTTTTATGGCTATCACACGCTGTGCCGCTTTCTCAGCAACCTCAGTGTTGCCATGCATCCTACAACCTCCAAGCAAACCACCCCACACATAAACATCTGCTCCCATGGGCATTTTCCCTATCATCTCCACAGCCTCTTCAATCAAGCCTGCGCGTCCAAGCAAATCCGCCATGCAACCATAGTGCTTCAGTTCCTTTGGGACTCCATAAACACCCTCCATCTCCGTGAAAAGCCTCCTAGCCTCATTGGTTAGACCTGCATGACTACACCCCACCAATACGCCCAGAAATGTCACCCCATCTGGTTTTATACCAGCATCAGCCATTCTGGCGAGGTAATCATACAAGAGCTTTCCATGACCATGCATGGCAAATCCAACCAGCATTGCATTCCATGTATACAAGTTCTTTTCACGACTGGACTCGAACAACTCCCTAGCAGTCTCAATGCACCCGCATTTGGCATACAAATCCACCAAACCAGTGACCAAGTACGCATCGATTTGAATCCTATCTTGCAAGATGTATTCATGTATTCTTTTCCCCTTTTCCAGTTCTCCCAGCTGTGCACAAGCCGAAAGTGCACAAACCAGTCCGATATTATCAGGCTTAACTCCTAACACAAGCATTTGATCAAAGAGGTCAATAGCCTCCCTGGACCGGTCCAGTTTTGCATACCCTGCCAAAAGGGTACCCCAAGAAACTGCATCCTTTTTAGGCACCTGGTCAAATAATTCCCTCGCCTTCACGGTGTCACCAGCCTTAACAAATCCGTCAATCATCGCATTATATGAAACGGTATCTCTGTAGGAACTCCTGTCAAACAGCTTATACGCACTGTGAACATCACCGGCAGTAGAATACACGTGAATGAGATTGTTACAAAAAAATAAATCAGCTATAAACCCGAGTTTGAGGGCTTGACAGTGAAGGGCATTGGCAAGTGAAAAGGAATTCATCCGGGCACAAGCTTTAAGGGCAAAAGGGAAGGTGTGGGTATCAGGTGGGATGGAGAGTTGGCACATTTTAGCGTACAAAGCCAAGGCCGTTTCAGGGGAAGAGAGGAGGGTATGGGCCCTAATGATTGTGTTGTAGCAAAATGTTGATGGGTCAGGAATGAGATTGAAGAGGGTGGTGACATAGGATGAGAAAGTTGGATCGGTGGAGATGGAGGGTGAAAAAGTTGCGAGGAGGCAAGTGAAAGCGTGGAGGATTTGAGAGAGGAAGGGAGTAGGAGGATGGAAAGAAATGAGGCCTGTTGTGATAGCTTGGGCATGGAGTTGGTGGATTTGTTTTATGGTTTTGCAGTCTAGTTTGAGAGTTTTAATGAGCTTCGATGATAGTTTATGCATTATTACTAGCGCATACTAATGGTCTTTGTGGAATGTGGGCGGGTTTTTCTTCTATTTTTTTTGTCTCCGGAAGGAGAAGGGGGATTCATTTGTCGAGGCTTTTGCCCTGTATGAATTTTGGCTGTCTTTGGTAGGTTGGTAATGTGTGTGTGTGTTTATTTCAAAACAAATTACATAGCAATGTATGTATTTCAATTTGGTTGGTTAACGTCAAAAATTGGCTTTGAAGAGAAGACGCAATCTGGAATTTTAGCTTCAGCTGGGACTGGGAGGAGTCTTTGAACTGAACTTGTTGAATATGTGGCATTAGGTTATCATTTTGTGATCACACTGTAGTGGTAAGAAAAATGCATGAGTGGAGTGAAAAAGAAAAATAACATAAAACCGTGGACGGCAGGATTCGAACCTGCGCGGGCAGAGCCCACATGATTTCTAGTCATGCCCGATAACCACTCCGGCACGTCCACCTTGGTGGTTAGATCAATAAAGGATATAACATTTACCTTTAAAAGATTCTGACTTTTTGAAAAGCTGACTTTAGAAGGGGAAGTTTACATAGTATTAGAATTCAATAGAGTAGGCGGTCTCTTGTAAATTACTATAATTTTCTAATTCTTAACTTTTAGCTTTAAAGAAGCTAAAAACTGAGAGAAGAAATAGTTGAAGACAACCTCAGACGCTAGATTTTTTCAAAATTAGAAGCTAATAGCACTTTAGAAACCTATGGAGAGCATAGTGGTCAGGGAAAAGAAAAAATATACTCATGAAAACTTAACCGATTGGTCTTATCCAAACAAATTCGGGCTCCATTTGAATTAATTGTTTTTGGAGGTATTTTTAAAATATTTTACTGTAGTAGTACATGCAGATGAAAAACTTTAACATAGAGTTTTTAATGGCATTTTTGGAGAACAACAATCTTGATGTGCTTGTATGGTTGGTTATGGCCGAAAACAAAAAGGTTTCAAAACTTACACTCCTATACCGAAGCGAAGAAACTGGGAGAATTTCCTCATACACGAGGTCTGCGAAAGCCACAATGGAAAGGTAAATATACACCTAATCCAATGTAGTATTTACAGGCTGGTTTCACTTTGCCCCTCCCCTCAACAGTCAAACTGTTTCTTCAGCGCTTGCCCGCTTAGGAAATAGATGGATAAAAGTTCTTGAAGCATTTTACTGTATTAGATAAGTAACGAAATTTGACAAGAAGAAAAGCAATTAAAGAGAGAGGTCCGTGCTATCACCATCCCAAAGCCCTACAGCTTCCAAGCATTATCGTCTCATCAAAAAAGATAAATTTTGGAAATTCATCAAGCATGGCAATGGCAATGGCATCCATGTTTTCCGCATTGAGGTCGTTGGTCAGATAATAATGTCTCCCACTAATCTGATTAGTGCCTTTGGACTAAAAAAGATTCTCAGATTCCAATCAAATGAGGTGTTAAGAGGTGGACGGTGCAAGGTGATTGTACTCTACAACAAAGGCATAAAGATGCAAGAAAAGAATGTATATAAATATTCCTCCTCTATTAATCTATATATGCACTTCTATTTCATAGCCTATGACTACTTTAACCACCAACAACAGCCAAACAAAAAAAAAAAAAATTCACATTGCATGCCATGCCACCTGTTGACAAACTTTTCTTGCAATCCCTATTCTTTCACTCGCTTTAAATTTCACTTTTTTCCACATGGAATGAGTAAGATTTTTTCAATCTTTTGTGACCTAATTGTGCGTTAAAAGAATAAAAGCATTCTTTGTTAGTGGATAAGTATGACTTAGAAGAAGAATAATGCTAGGGAGGGGACCATGCAAATTTGTCACCATCCTCTACATTGTGCTACCAGCAAATTTCTTTTCCTTTTGACGAAGGCAGGCATCATGACCTCTTCTATCCATAACTAAGTTCTACTTCTACCTCATATTGAGAATGTCCGCTATATAAATTGGGGTTTGAGGGAGGAGATAGATATTCAAGAAACATATCATATCATTAGCTCGTTTGTTTTGCAGCTTAAAATCTTAAAAAGAGTCTTGAGAAAGGTGGCGGAGATATGTGGAGAAGAAAGAAGAGAAAGAAGACACTGAAAATGACTTGTTTATACGTGGATGCAATTGCCCTTTGATCATCATTTCATGGATGCCAAAGGGTACACAGGCAAGTCATATAGGCAAAGGGAAGGCCACGCCTTTCTTCCAGGTTTTTTTTTTTTTTTTTCCTTTTTTTGCTTTTTTGTGGGGGATGCGTTTCTTTCTTTTGGATTTTCAACTAATTAATGTACCTGATGTTATTTGACCAGAGCTGTACATGCATAATGGTCCTTTAACCAATGAATTCTCCAATGAAGTGAATTTCTTTCGTGTATATAGCAGCTGAACTAGTTTTTCACTTCCGGTAAGACCGACCACCCCAGATGAGGTGATTGATTTGTATGCTAGTTTTAATCAGATCAGTAGTGTAATACTATAATGGCTTATGATTGAGAGATTGATTTGTTATCCGTACGTCCGTACGTAACTTATCATTATGATTCGGTGAAACTAACAAACAAGATAGATCGTCGATCCATTTCACTTGCCAAATTTTAACTAAATCCCTGCTTGATGTTGATGATGCAAAGGATAATTTCACTTACCAAACAAGATATTTTATTGTTGAATTTAGAAGGTGAGCAGAAGAATTATCGTTCTTGATCCGATTGCAGTTTTCAAATGTAGATAGATATCCATCAGGTCCAACCTTCAAGTTGATATACCACCAGCCGATTTGATCTGCAATACTCTCCAGTTGGTTTCAAAAAGGAAAAAAAATTCTGCAGAAAAATGAAAAATCTTGCCCCTTAACCTTGAGAGGTCTTCTTCCCGTGTAAAATGTCTCCAACGCTATATCGATACAAACATGAATCCTGAAAACATCAATAAAATCGGGGTAGTTAACAGCAGTGACTTCATGCACAGTAGTAACACAAATGATATGTTTTCTGCGTACAGTAACTCAAAAGGTTTCAGCATCTGTATATAACTTTTTCTGGTCCCTCATGGGCAGCTCGGTTGGTCATGGCAAGCCTCCTTAGGAGCCGTTGTCCAGTCCCACCAGGGTTCGAGTTCCATGGTTACCGTGTTCAGGAAACCGGGGTAGTTGACAGCAGTGACTTCATGCACAGTAGTAACACAAATGATACGTTTTCTGCATACAGTAACGCAAAAGGTTTCAGCATCTGTATATAACTTTTTCTGGCCCCTCATGGGCAGCTCGGTTGGTCACGGCAAATCTCCTTAGGAACCGTTATCCAGTCTCATCAGGGTTCGAGTCCCATGGTTATCGTGTTCGGGAAACCGGAGTAGTTAACAACAGTGACTCATGCACGGTAGTAACACAAATGATACGTTTTCTGCATACATTAACTCAAAAGGTTTCAGTATCTGTATATAACTTTTTCTGGTTTATATATATATATATAAAATGCCCGGATCATCAATCATTCATCATTGGTTGATGATTTGGGACAAATGGTAATGCTTGATTAACGTACGAACGAGGGTACTAATTAGTAATTACATGTTGGTTTATCTTAATCTTTCGCAACAGTGAGAGAATAAAAGGATTGACTTTGAAGTTATAAAGCAAAAAAGAAACTCGTGAAAAAATTACATGAGAGTGAGAAAGTTCCCATGAAGTTGTCGTGCTTATAAAAAATTACAAGATAAGCATGGTAGTTATCTCGAGAGAGCGTACGTAAAGGAAGAAGAAAAAATAAGTATTTATTGTCGCTTTATTTATGATGAAGAGTACTTTTACTTTAACTACTTGTACGTATATATTGTTAAGATAACTAATCATGAGCATTATAACTGCCGATATAAAATCATTTCAAACATTATAGTAAAAGTTGGCGTACTTATTATGCGTTGCTCGGCTCTTCAAGCTGGGAAGGGCTGACAACCTTTCATGAAAACGACCGACGAGCCACTCAAAGTCTTCGAATAAAAATATCATTAATTGAAGCCAAAGCTATCTATCAAAGAACAATAATTACACCAACAGGGTTGGTCCGAGTGGTAAGCGATTCGGATTCGCTCAAGCAGGTCTCGTGTTCGAGTCCTAGTGTACGCAGACACCCTGTTGGGAGACTCACCCACCATAGCCAGGTGCGCGACGCGGGTCGGGTCCGGATTAGTCGGGACAAAGCTTCGGATACCGGGCAAGCAACCAAAAAAAAAAAAGAAAAAAAAGAACAATAATTACAACCTTTTTTTTTCTTTTTAATTTTCCTGTTAACCAAAACGATGCACATCACTGCAACAAAAAAACCTGATGAGTATCTTTCACCCCTTACAACATTCACCAATCCGTTATCACATTACAGGCTCCCTGCAACATTCTATAATAGCCCTGACATCGTTGAAGAACTGTTTTCCTGACATCCTCAATTTGCAGACAATGAAAGAATCGCATCAGCTATCCATGCTAAGCTCTTAGTTGCCCATTAAAGCATGCATGGGTAACTACTGGTTATCAAAATGTGTGCTGATTTTCAACAGGCAAACCAAAATCAAACCTCATGAGTATCCATCCTTAAAAGAGAAATTTTGGAACTTCCACTCATCCACATTACTTATTTGGTATGACAAAAATGGCAAGGTCTCAACCTCATCTATTCATCTTGCTCGTGATGATCTAACTAGAGTATACAAGGACATCCTAGAACTCAAATAAACAGACGTTGTATTTAAATACCATCCTTAATTCCGGGCGTAATAATAAGTTAGCCAGTCAATCCCAAGGGATAGCTCTTCAGCAAACTCTATCCCCAGGAGAATCAATACCTAGTGTATATCACCACCAATGATACCTTCAAATGGGATTAAAAATCTTATTCTTCATCATCATCTCTAAATGCGCAATTACGAGCAGCAGGTAAAGCGTCAGCTACCCGAGATCTAGACTCTTCTTCATGGTTTCATAAACCAAGTACGTAATGCTGGCTGCAGGAACAACTTTAAGAAGATTTGGGAATAGTCCTTTATAGAATCCCCTGAAACCTTCATGTTTAATCGTTCTCCTAAACACATCAGACATTCCTTTGTAAGCAGCATCAGAGTTGTATCGCTGAGCTTGCATTCTACAAAGTGAGAAAATAAGCATTAGCATTTAAGACAAATCACGAGCTGAATCTAGAATGTCCGACAGACAAATTAAGCTGCAGCAAGAGCATATTGTAATGAAGTTTTACCTTGTTCTGACAACCTGCAAAGGATAAACGCATGTTGCTCCCAGGGCCCCTGAAATTGTACCGCAACCAAGTTGCACAAAAGGACCAGGCTCTGCATAAAATTCGAATTTCCAGGAAACAAGATTTCAAAGGCCTGTAAAACTAAATGAATTACACATCCTACTAGCTTTCCAATAACCATTTAAATTTAAACCACAAGGAATTCTCACCAAAGACATCTGTTTGATGATGTAGAAAAGACAATATCCCCATAACACAGAAAAGGAAACGATCAAAGAAGTCTTGAGACATTAAAAAACGAAAGCATAAATTCCATACCACTATCATGAAGAATATAGGTCTTTGACATTTCTTTAAGTTTCTCATAGGCAGCCAAGTCGATGCCCGCATAAGGAATAATCCCTAGAAGAGATGGTACCAGTCCTCTATAAAAAGCCCGAGGTCCCTCCTGAACCAATATATCTTTTGACAACTTTCCCAAATTTGGAACTTTCCCACTTTCACAAGCATAAGTTTGTAATCGGGTCTTCACAAGATCCATTGGATAAATAGCAGTTTGTGCAACAGCACCAGCCAAACCACCAGCAACCAGGCGCCCTGATGTCCCAATATCCTGGTGCTCCTTGTTACCTCCAATGACATTCTTCAGCATTTCATAAGTGTAAAATTTGATGGCACTTTCTGGAGCAACCTTGAAAACATTTATCCCATTGCCTCTGAAAAACCCAAATAAGCCGCCCTCCTTCCATATGCTCTTAACTGCAGGGACAATAGATGCACGAGAGGTCTGAACCTGCAAAACCACCTTAAGACGATCAAGAGGTGCAGTTGCAGTACGTGAAGCAGCTCCAGCAACTCCCCCTGCAATTAAATATTTTGTAGCATGAACATGCTTGCTGATGCCTTCTGGAATAACAGCCTGTTCACCAATATCAACTAGATATACCCTTTCCCAATAGTGATAGATGTTTTCAATAGTTGCCTCATGTGGATAGAGCAGTAGAAAATCTCTCCACTCTTCAAAAGTTATGATACCATTGTTATCCTTATCAACATGCTCCACAAAGCGAGCAAGTTCATCATCATCCATTTCTATCCCTGAAGAAAGAAACTGCCATGACTTATAAGATGAAGACATATAATGATATTAAAGTAAATGGCTCTGGGAAAAGATGGAAAATCTAGCAGAAAAATCAGATTCAGAAGGCCTAAATACTTGGTTCATAAGGACTTGAAACATAGAATCATTCAATGATAACAACCAACAGCAGTCCCAAGAAGAAGATGAAAAAAAACGTGAGGTGCTTTCATAAAGTGAGAAAGAGCTTCCTCTAGTCATACTTGGAGATTGAACTTGCGACTTATCCTCAAATTCTGGCATACGTTGTCCAAACTCGGAAAAGCAATCATATTTATCCTCAATCTTACACAACCTACTAATTTCGGATCAATATGCAAGAAATTTGAAAAGATCACATAAAAGAATATTCTGAAAATTCCAAAGGGATGCTCAGAGGAAGAATTGTAATTTATAACAAAAAAGCCAGTACTTGAAGGACCGATACTTACAAGCTGTAACACCAAGGTGATCAAAGAGCTTCAGATTTGATGCCATGCAAAATCAGCTTCTTCCCCTTTTATGATAGGGAAAAAAAGGATTCTATTTGCACATCAATAATTAAAAAGGTGCAGTATATTTAGATCACTCCATTCAGAGGTCAAGGAATATAAGAGTATGAAGTCTCATTCCAACATTGAAGGGTTTTTCCCATTACCCAGACCCATGACACTCAGGTCCTTAGCAACCTCGTGTTTCTGCCAAGGTCTTTTCTTTGGATCCATTTGAAAAGATGGATCTGGATCCTATGGAAGACATGACGGGATGGAATTGAACAGAAAGAGTTGGATCCAAGGAAAGATTTTCACATTAGCTAAAAACACTTGGTTAGCAATTATCCCAGGGTGAAGAAAATTACAATTAACAAAAGCAATGAGCTAAAAGTTTCTATTTCTTCTTCCTTCTTATCACAGAACATTGAAACCTAAGCCCACCTTCCTGCTGCTTCTGTTTACCATCAATAGATCCTTCCGTCATGGCAATCTCACCAGATATTTTCTCGTTACTCAAACTCACACTGAATGGCTCAAACCCCACTTAACAGAGATGCTCTTTTTCCAGCGCTCTCACTACCAGCAAGAGAATGCCGCTGGTGCAGTCAACAGCAGTTGACTGTTGACAGGCCAAGTTTAGCTCCGTATAAGTGGTGTCATGGTCAACAGCAGTTGGAGGCACGACTTTTGCTCCATATAAGCTCAAAAATGAATAGTTTAGAAGAGAAAGGAAGAGGTGTTAAAGTATGGATTTCAATAACCTCTATTTTGGGTGAATTTGGATTCACTTAATTATAGTCTTAAATTCTTGGTGAATGTCAAATCTAAATTGCTCCTACTTCACACAGAAAAGCTAGAGATTTGGGTAAAGGGTTTAAAATCCTATCCACCCAAATCCCGCATTCCAAACAGACCCTCTATGAATTTCAGGGAATGCGAATGAAGAAGTTTTATGTATTATATTGGTTGTGAGAGAGTTATTTTCACATATGCACTAATTTTGGACTAACCGTTGAGCCATAGGACCTGAAATTTTATAT